TCATCACCTCTGTTTTATCTGTGTTCACCTGAAGTCCTATCGTCTCCGGATGCTTCTTCTGCCAGCTTGTTGCTTTTCACTTGCATATCTTCCAGTTTGTGGGAAATCAGATATAAATATGTCATCGGTGAGTTCCAGATCCCCCAGGTTTTTGTGTGGGTCCATTTTACGCCTGTATCTTCGTTGCCTGGCCTGCAGTCTGTCGCATTATCCAGTCCACCAAAATCAGAAAAATCATTAGAGATGGTAAACAGTCTGTTTATCTTACTCTCGTCTTCGCTTCGAAGGCTTCTGTAAGTTTCCCGTTGTGGATTACTTGGCATGCACCATTGTCGTATAACTGTTGGATGAGATGTATAGTTGTCGACGGCACCCCGCAGTAGCGAAGTAGTTGCCAAATCACCTCTCGATCGACGCTGTCTGTCGAAGGCCTTTTCAAAGTCGATGAAGTTGAGATTGAGAGGTGCCTACCATTCCAACCTTTGTTCAATGATGATCCGTAGTGCGGCGATTTGATCAATACATGACTTGTTTCTCCTGAATCCAGCTTGTTCCCGTTGAAGTTTATCATCCAGGACTTGTTTGATTCTCTCCAGGATGATGTGGCTTAGTATTTTGCTAGGGATGGACAATAGCAGAATTCTGCGCCAGTTTTTGCATTGACTTGAGTCTCCTTTCTTTGGCAGTTTGAAGAAGTATCTTTTCTTCCAATCGTCGGGTACTTTGCCTTAATAAATAATACAGTGCTCAAATTATCTTTGATGCTCCAGTAGGAAGATTTTATGCCTTTCAGGTATTTCCGCTTAACAAACTCACCAGCCAGGTGAGTTTAGTAAACTTATTCCACTGCTCCGCCGAAAGGTCGTCTGCCACTTAGTCTCCTTACAGTAACTATTTTATGTCTATGATTCTAGGTTTCCAGATTGTACTTGTTTGATAAATGGGGGTGAGCCATGAAAAATATATATCACTTCAGGAGAAATATAAACATTTGAAGATCAAAATACCTCATCAAATAGTTTAGTTTACAAATCATTTACAAATCCCATCCATGTAAGCGACTTACTTGTTCATATTTATAACCATTTGGTTTCTAACATATACTCGTTTGGCAATGTTTGTATGTCAGGATGATAGATTGTTTTAGGAGTATTATGGATGCCTGCGCGTCGGTGGCACAGGGGTAGGATGCTCGCCAGCTACGCATGTGATCTCGGTTTCGATTCCCGACCACAGACGCACTCCTCTATTGTCTCGCTAAGCCAATATTAAGACTGGTAAAGAGGGAAGGTTGAGCATGAGGCTAACAACCCCATCCCGTAAAAATAAACACTACTGCTACCGAAACTTCAAGTCTTTAGCTTGAAGCCCCTTGTTCCACTGGGAACGTAAAGGAAAACATAAAATTATGAATGTCTAAACACTAAAAAAAATCTCATTGAATTCACTGTCATTTCCATCATAGGTAAGTGAATAGTTTAGTTTGAAAGCATTACTCATGCGAACAACTTCATGAGAGTGGATGTTCCGTCAAGAATAGTCAAGAGGATTTAAAAGAAGGAAACTTTCGTTATGTGATTAGAAGATGAAATTCACTCACGATTCATCCATCAAGTCAACCACAGAGTTTTATGGTATCTTATGAGTGATGCAGGAATAGATCATTAAATTGGATAAATCTGGGAAAAACATCGACTTTATTTTTCCCTGGTACTCGTTTATTTTCCTTATTTTTTCTATATACACATTCATTGTCATTTTCTTTCTCACGGATAAGTTCAGATTTCATGTTTTATAGATATATTTGTAAAGTTTTATTCAGAAGTTTGCAGTAAATTATTTTCTAAATCAAAAAATGAAATATTAAAGACAGTGTACTGTTTTGATTGGACAATAGTCAGTAACTAGTGTAATGTGTGTGTGTGTGTGTGACTAGTCCTATCTTTGGTGCACACTGAATTCTATCATCAGTCAATTTTGCAATGTGGCCACCATGCCACCAGGTGGTTCGCCATCACGGCGCATAGTCAATTGTTGGTATTAGATGGTAGGAGGTAATCGGGCACAGGAGGCCTTCGACCTAGGTTTTGTGCTAGTCGGCATTCACCAGTCAGCAAGGCGTATCTGCAACCTTGAAGAAACTCGTGTCGCTTCTGACGTGAAACATGCATCCATCACCCAGTGATTCAGTTAGAGGTCTTACCACTGAGCTTTAGGGGTTCGTGATTGACTATTTTCCAATTACAAATATCCAATACACGAGTGCAGGAGGTCAGTGGCGAGCCCAGATAGCTCAGTTGTAAGATCTCTCACTGCAGCACTGGGTGATGCGTGTCCCATGTCAGAAGGGACATGAGTTTCTTCGAGGTTGCGCAGATACGCCTTGCTGACTGGTGAATGCGATCAGACTGAAAAGAATTCAATTTTAAGCAGACAAGGAAGACATTTGTAAACTGTAACGTCACCAATGTAGTCGACTGTGACTTCCCTATTATATATTACACCTCTCTCTGTAATAAACATTATTTCCACTGTCAGTAGTCTTGTTGAGAACGAAAATCAAGAATGATCATGGTATGTATATGGATGAATCAAATGTTAGGCTAGCAAAATATATAAAAATACTGCTGTACTGAGATGTATGCTATGTGCTAAGATCGAAGTTTTCCGGATGAACTACAAAAAAGTTATTAACTCCATCCGTGTATATCATCAGTATACGAACAACTGTCGAAAGAGACACACTGGAAGAGCAGAAAGTGCAGTCTAGTTCTGATTTTCTGAACAGATACTTTAAGGCAGAAGATTAAGAGAAGATAGATCTTTAAGCAGAGCAGTGATGAGACATCCGATCAATACAGAACATCAGATAGAGTCACCTTGAATCTTTCAAATTATAGCAAAGACACAAACAATCAGACTCAAGTCGCTTGAAGTTCACGGAGGCCATCACTATCCAACGATTAGAAGTTGACCCATCAACTCAACAAGAAACTGCAATGAGTTTTCCTCCGTCTCAGTAACTCATGTTTAACCTTAACAGATCATGTCATCTTTTATTAAATATGAATACTGGCTTCCTTCCAGCCTCACTTAGTCGCATTATCATTCATTAACTGTCATGCTTCATTTGTCTGATGTCGAATCAGATGAGCTCCACTCACAGTCCTTCATATCTCATGCAACAATGATCTTTCAGTGATTTATGCAACCTCATAATTTATGTACCTGAATATCTTGTTGCTGACCTTGCTTTCTCCCAACTTTTCATTTTATTTGAGAAACTCACATCACATTACACATATAAACGGGGGAAAATTTTACCAACACAGAATCACGATTCATCTATTTTATCATGATTATTCTTAATTAACGTTTCATGTTTTATTTCTAATGAACTGGAGTCGGCTAAAACTGTAATAGAGCAGTTAAATTTCATTATTTGGATACTGTGAAGCTGACGAGATACCGATGATTTTGAGACTTGGCGGAAAAGTAATGACCCATTTATTTTAATTGTATATATGACAAAATCCTCTTGCGAAACTCTCATGATTTACTGTAACATAAGATTGAGTTTCAGAGAAAATCATTCGCTGCTTCAGCTGAAATACACAAAGTCGTTTTGGTCAATGCTTCATTCCAGATCATCGCTTCTCATCTCTATGAACTGAGATCATGTGTAGTGTCTGTTCTTTCGCAGTGTAATTTCTGCAACGGTCTCCGAAATGAGACCAATGAAATTCTCTGTATTCTTCCCTTTCAGACGGGTACTGTGAGCTTGCTTAACCCCGTCCACGTGTCATGGTCGGCCTCCTATTGGATTATCTCAAGGACTGGCCCATTAATCGATCAATAAGTTAGTTGAAGTAGTGGTGTTTGTGGTGTTAGTTGAACTAACCTGTGCACTAAATTAGAAACTAAGTCAAGCATAAAATACCTTCAAATATTTCTCTTCTCTGGCCTTTCTTCGTCAGCTCTTATCTTGTCGATTTCTAAGGAAACGTCCAGTCTCACATACTGCATTAAGAAGGTAAGACAATCAGGTATCACTCAACATCTGCTTTTAAAATTTGTTAACTACTCTATCTCACCTACTGTCCTTCGTCGCCCGACCGCTACATAAGTCTCTTCTGGGCTTCTCAAAATGGAATATATCGTATTGTGAAGAGTATTGAAGGTTGTCAGTAGGGCGAGTGATGTGTTACTAAGTCAGCTGGTTCGTTACTATTGTAGTAGACAGACAGCTGAACTCACCCATGTCAGAAATGGTCTAAATCCATATTATCTGACTCTCAACACCCTCTACATTCACAACTGTCCCCCCTCACCTTCGATCTCATCACGTAGATCTAGAATTCATTATAAGAGATCGTGTCCTCGTACAACCAAGTACAGAAACTCGTCAATACCCTGTTTGGCCTGCACTACATGTGTGATATAGATAATGTTGAACGTGAAACTTATAGCTTACCGTGTAATTAGCAAAATAATTGGCTCTTCTATCCTCCCTTATTTGTAACCTATGGAGACACTGTTTCAATCACCTCATCATTTTAGCTATCAACATTATTACAACTGTTTTACACTTTCAGTACATTTTGACTTTATTGTCACTGTTTATAGCGAAAACCTGATATCACCAATTCTGGTTACCTATACCCTGTAATAAAATTTTTTGTTTTTGTTGTTGTCGAGTAAATTGGGTGGAATTTTGTGCAAAGTGCTGAGAATTCAACACTGTATCGTAAGTACTACATTGGAATAAAGCGAATCCTGATTATGATTATTGACGTTTTGTAAGTGACCTTTTGTGGATAATTTAGTTGATGTCTTTGCTCATCATGTGCCAATTTTCAAATCCTTATTATTCCACTAACAAACTACACAAGGGTGATTCAAAACTTTCTCAAACTCTATTAAACAGGACCATGGAGAGAATACGATCATAATACCACCTAGATAATCAAATGCTCTGAGTAGTAGCAATTCAAACTCACATTGTCAATAGCGATAATCCCACGTGGTCGAATCAGCTGTAAGCACAACTGGTAATAATTACTGTAATTTTCTTTGTCAGCATCAATGAAGGCGAAATCGAATGTTTCACTTTCTCCATTAGCGATGAGTTTTTCTAAAGAGGGTGAAAAAAATGATTGAAAGTTGACTGGAAAGAAAACAAATTAAAAACTGATGGGACAATTTATTGTCTGTGAAACTGGACAAGTATGTATTGGTGTGTAGGGGATTACAGAAATTCTTCGAGATAACTGAGGTAGGTACATTTATCCAACAGCCATGAATTCGTCTTTGTCTACTGATACAGAAGACACGGACAAATTGTAGTTTTGAGGTACCACCGCATTTGGTGGTTGCATCGAATTTAGTTAGTGTGTTGTTACGTGCTCTGAGTAATCTGGATATTTCTAAATACAACTTTGAGCAGGAATAATTTGTCAAGTGATGTTGGAGACAGTCTGGTGAAGCGGTCAAGGAGTGTCAGTCTAGTGATATCAGCTGCGTGCGTGTGTGTATGTGTGTGTGTGTGTGGTCTAAATGTAACTCCATCAGAAATATGCAGTTATGAATCAGTTCATAAGTGTCGTGTCACTGAGTCAACAATGTCACAATCCTTCAAGCAATGTAACTACACCTGGTCTCGTCGATATGTATCAGAGGAAACGAATACCTTGAGTGGTGATTATCGAAAATGCCAAGTACATTGTGCGGGCTCAGAGATAGTCAAACCGTTAAGTGATAACATATCAAAATAATTTCTGTAAAGTCTCAGGTGCCCTACACTTGGAATGGCCTAGACAGAAAACAAAATTTTATCCAGAATTCAGACATACAAGAGACAAACATCTTAATCAGAGTATAGATGCCATTCACCCTTTATATTTATTCAGACATTATTATTATTATTATCAGCGAAAGTATAATGATTCTATCATTGTCTGAAATATAATAAAAACCATAATTAGATCACGATGATTCACCTAGTGAACAAATTGTGTGTCTGGATATTGTGTCTGGATGTTATACACACAAACCTGTATGACCTATCGATTCATGTATGAAGTAAAGACTTGTCACCTTGATAAATTAAAAGTCATAAGGCTCTGAGATTTCCAGGTCTGAGTGAAACTGGGTAATAATGATGATTTACTTTATTCCAAAAACAGTACTTGTGATACAGAATGGAATTTTCAGCATTAATCACAATATTGCATCTAGTTTCCTCAAATTATAAATAAAAATTAATCACACAGAAAATTTTCCACATTTACAATAGAGGTAGTATTAGAAACATGCAGCATATAAAATGGAAATAGCAATAATAATGATAACAGCTAGGGTAATAATAATAATAAGAATACAAGTGAAAATTGCCGTTGGCTTGTGTCACACAGTATTGGCAATGTGGTATAGAAATCCTAACATTAAGCACTTCTACCGGACGTGTTTTCCATATTTGCACTGTGTGGAGTAAGGTCACATAGAATTTGATATCAAATAACTAACAGACTGGTAACTTACAAAGAAAAAGATATTAGACAGTCTCATATAGTCGTAATCGTTGATTTAATTGGAAAATTAATTTAGGTATACTCAATTATAATCTGCCTTCGTTTGATAGTATGAACTGCAGTAGGATTAACCTGAAGGGAATATTAGAATTATCTGAAGAGTAGGACCACTCAATGGTTTTCGCGAGGACTTATTTAAGAGGTGAGGTGTTAATGATAGTGTTGAATTCAGACATGTGTACTTCCCTGTTATTATTACCTACTTATGTTTGAGATATTAGCGAAAATACGGTTACCTAGATAGCAAAACTTTCCAATGAGGCTTCCGCGCCCACCTGCGGATTTGGCTTTAAAAACTGGTCTTATCAAGGTTAGTCTTACAAGATTGTACTAGTCAGTGCCCCCAATGAATCCACACCATTTCTGTGTACATATTTTGAGATACCACTGATTGCACCTTTCCATATCGGCACTTAGTAATGAAGCATTGATAAGGGAAAAATATACAAACTGAATCTTCCTCAACATAGTGCTGGATGTCGTTAATGTCATCAAACTTGCCTTTTATATGATGATGAGAAGGATTCACAAATTAATTAAGTACTTTTGATGATAACAATGTCCGGTTCTCTTTCTTTAGATGGTATGTTTACTTCAATTATGTTTCGAATGGATACCATTTTGCTTCAGTCTGAGGAATATGTACACTTTTACAGCACGGTTATATTACTGGTCTCATTTATACAGGAAACTTCTCCTGATATTTACAGTTTAACTGAAAACGCAGTGAAATATCTCAGAGCCAGTTATAACCTCACTTTAAGTATTCGCAAAGTTACAGCCATCTCCTAAATAGCTTAGCTCTTTTATATCTCAACTTTCAATGTGCACATCTTAGTACAATTACACATGCTTATCTTGTCTTCCTATCTTGTCTACCCTAGATTATATCACAGTTTGAAGTGATGCCCTACAGTGTCAATTTATTCCTCCACCCATTGCCCTATGTTGATAATTGTGTAGATGATGAAGTTATTCTCTCAATTATGTGACTTTCGACGATCCAAAGATGTATACAGTACAGATGAATCTGTTAAAGAATAGTTCCTGAAAAGTATTAAAGGGATGATGACTTCATGTGAAATGAAAATCTTGTCAGTAGTATGATTTGGACTAACGCCCTACGAGATAGTGGTCCAGTGAACTTCCACTTGACTTCCGAGACTGAGCTGCTAGTTAGGATATAATGATGATGTGTGATAGCCAGCTGTTATTTGATGCAGGAATGGCACCTTGCTGTCCGATCGCTATCATACTCTCTACCCATCTAGGCTTCCTTCTTTTGTTAATCCTTATCACAGTGAATCAGAAGAAGGAGGCAAGGATGTTAGATTTCTGATGGATACTGAAACTGTCTGAGATAACCTCTCCTTGGCAGATGACTACACCTCATGATGGTCTCATGAAAATGGCCGCCTGATTAACAGTGTAGTCGCATAGCTCCAAATAAGGAATTCATTGGATACTGATTGAGATCCCACCGTTTGAAAAGATTTCCAGCTCACGTTAACCTAACCATCAGTAAGAGTCTCTCAACCAAAGTCTGATTATTTCAAAATAATCTCACCATCAATCCTGTAACTTTTCATGATGAAGATGTAAGTAAGCAATGTTGCTTTCAACTAGATTTTATCAGGTTCTTCTCTGATAGATATAATTTTACAAATCAATTTATATTTAATATAAGTCACTCATGATATTTTGTCAATACAATGATAAGATTGCAGGAATAAACTATGGCGTTAGTCATAACACTGATAACAATCCTATTAGTAACAAATATTGAAAAATGGAGTGATTCGTAGGAACGAGAATAGTGAAAATAAGATGATCACACACACAAATGTTTCAATAGACATTGTAAATAAAGGCTAAGTAAAACAAACAGTCAGGTGAAGTAATGTCAGACAGTAACGGTAGTAGATGAACTAAGATTCAATGAAGATCAAATAACACTAAGCAAAAGGTATTAAGATAACGATCAGATGTATGTGACGGTGGTAGTGCCGTCATTTGGTCAGATAATGACTGGCTGCCATGAAGAAAGAAGAATAAAATGTACGAATTTCTTCCGAATCCATAGTTTAGGCTTCATAGACTGAATACCAATCACCTCAGATATATGTATACTAGACAGTTATAAAGATCACTGGAAAGATTTTGTGAAATAAGAGGAATCAAGTGAAATGACTTTTCGATTGCATGGAGGATTTCACTATGAGCTGACATCAGTTACAGAACCACTGGAAAACCTGGGAGTACTGGACAGCTGTTTCCTCCGTCCTAGTTTGGGACTATTCAGCAGTACGTACCCACCACAGGGGTTCGAACCCAGGGCCTTCTTGTTACAAGGCGAGCTCGTAGACCATTAAGCTACTGGGAGCTCATCCACTAGCCCTTGTATTCTAACTTCTGCCAATTCACGATATAGCGCGACCATTTCCCAATGTCTTCTTCGATGAGTTACTGCCTCATCTTCAACCTGCTGTACCCTACTGGTTACGGCCTCCCACTAGAACCCCTAGTTAACTGCCTGGATAGGGCTAGTGGTTCAATGGTCTACGTGCTCGCTTTGTAACCAAAAGGTCCTGGGCTCGAACTCCGGTTGGTGCATACCTCTGAAGAGTCCCAAACTAGGATGAAAGAGCTGTCCAATACTCCCAGGTTTTCCAGTGGTTCTGTAACTGATGTCAGCTCATGGTGAAATCCTCCATGCAATCAAACTAAATCCCTAAAATCCAATACTTGAAAATGATTTTCCCAGTAGATAGCCACTATCAAATAAATGCAACAAATGCAACAGAACTTCAAGTGGGTTTTATATGACATCTTCTGAACCGCGATAAGAGATATCCAGTAACACACTGACTACGCCGTCTAGTAGTATATCCAACATAACTACCTCCAAAAGAGTTGTCGGACTGATAAATTAGCATAAGTACAATAAAACCACCTAATTTATCCTTTGCTTGTATCACGATCATTTACTGACTAGCAGATCACAAACACAGTTCTGCTGCCTGAAATACACTTCGTATAATTCTGGTTAGCCTCCAGAACAAAATGAAGAGTCCCAAAGTAGGACAAAACAGCTGTCGAATGCTCCCTAGTTTTTAATGGTCACTCTGACTGATGTTAGTTTGTGACGAAACCAAATGACTGGAATTAATCCAAATCTCCGCATAACCTGAATAATCAGATGGCTCAATATGATTAAGCGCTCAAATTATTCCAGGATATTACGGAATCCATGATGCGGATACTTGTAATTGAGATTTTTAAGAAACTATATCTCATGAGGAAATCTGAACAAAAGGTCAACAACAGAGACCAAATATTTGTGAATATAATCATAATCCAATATCAACCGTTAAGCAGATAGTGTAATATCCCCTGAAAATGTATTAATAGAATGCAATTTCTACAATTTGGTGCTTATTCATTCCTACTGTCACATGATAAATAACGTTTATGGTTCTTATACGGTGTTATATCCTACAGCATTACCTCAGATCTGCCTGCATCTGCATCTTCCCACACCATTCTCATAATTTTAAGAAAACGATATTATTTTCTTACATGAGTTGTTCTGAATGTGACAATGGGAAATTTCAATTCTTTTAATAGATGCATGGACAAATGTTGGTTTATTCACAGTTGTTGGCTGCAGCAGGGCGAGTGTGAGGACAAATACTCGCCATCGATGACAGTGGCTAGCGGTCGCGCTATGTCTTGAAGTTAGAATTCATGGACTGGCCATTGGATCGGGTTTCAGTGGCTTAATGGTCTACGAGCTCACCTTGTAACCATAAGGTCCTGGGTTCGAACCCTGTCAGTGGGTGCATACTGTAAAGAGTCGCAAACTAAAACGAAACAGTTTTCCAGTACTCCCTTGGCCAGTTTTCCAATGGTTCTCTAACCAATGTCAGCTTATGATGAAATCCTGTAACCAATCAAATTCCTACAAACCGACACTTGAATATTAGCCCTTTGTTAGGGGTCGTTACCTTCTTTAAAATGAGGATTTAATTCTCCCTAATTCGACACTTGTTTATCTACAGGAATTGTGATAATTACCTTCAACATCACACCTGGAAATATCAACTTTAAGGAGAAATTTTTAGATTTCTTTATATATTCCGAGTGAAACATAAGGCTTTAAACTTCAGTTTTGAAGTTGCGGTAATGTCTGTGTGGGGGACGTTACTAGCCTCCAACTCAACCGTCCCGATTCACCGGGCTTACCACCGACGAGATAAGGTTTATGACTGTGTTGGTCAGGAGTCGAACAAAAACACATAAATTTAAAGAACCAAGTCAGTACAAACACTTACACAGTGTATCAACAGCTGGACCCAGACGAAAATCAATTTTCTTCTCTACACCAGCTTTTTTCCATGCTGGTATACAATAATCTTGTAGACAAGTATCCGTTATATCCAATGCGACTACACGTCCATCGGAAGGTAGTACTTCTGCAATGGTTAATGCACTGTAACCAGTGTAAACTCCTGTGGAGAAACAAAGTGAACAAATGAAAACAAAAAAAAGAGTAGTAAGTTTACGATTTAAGAGCTGAAGAGGTGTGATAAATAATGAATGATTATGTAAAAGTTACACATTAAATTTACGTATTCAAATTACATTTTTAATAGACGCCACTTAATATTATTATACTATATTACTTTTCTAAGTGAAATATTGGGCTTAAATAGCACATCTCTGTTTTGTCCTATTCTCTGCGGTACTCTTTATCTGACTTCATGATTGTCCAAAGTCACATCCATATTACCCTCGGACGACCAACTCTTCGTCCTCATTTCAGAATCTACTCAGGAGTCTGTTTGGCACGCGATGCTATTCGACAGTCACCTAAGCATATGTCGAATTCATCTCCATTTACTTTGGGATATTTATTGAGCAGCCGGCTGTTGGTTGGTTTATTCAAAATAATTTCTGTTTGCTAACCGCTTTTGACCTTTTAATCTTCAGTATGGAGCCAGAGAAGGAGGCAGCTGTTGATAAAAGTCTGTATAACGTGTTGGAAATGCTCTTATAACGCTGCAAGTTTTTAAACCTTTTAGAAGAATTGACTGACTAAACGTTGGTGTTGAAAATCAGAACTTAGTCCTTCATGTTGAGTTATTACAGAAGATTTCCAAACTGATCTCAGAGTAATGAAGCAAAATTGAATTAAAGAAGTAATGGCTTGCCTTTCCGGCAGTACTTGGTTTTGACATCTACGTCCGTCCCACCTATGTTTGAAACAATGCTCCCTAGATAAGTGAAGGGAGTTGCCTCTTTCTAATTTCTTCCTTGAAAGTGATTTGTACTGGCTGTTGTCTTTCGTTAATCGCATTCATCTACGTCTTCTACCTAATCATCACCTCGAGTCCTGTCAGCCTCTTCTGCCAGTTTGTTTGTTTTTGCCCGTAAGTCTTCGAGTCTGTGTGACATCAAACATAAACTGTTCGAGAAGTCCAGACCTTCTAGAGTCTTCTTATCAGTCCAGAGTATTTATGTCTTCTTGCTACCCACAGTCTGACACTTAATCCAGTCCACCACAATTAAGAATATCATCGGTGATAATAGGCAGGCAGCCTTGTCTTACTCCTGTATTTACTTCAAACACCTCGATGAGTCTTCTGTCGTGGATCACCTGACACGTGGCATTGCCATATAGCCAGCTGTTGAATGAGTTTGATAAATATTTGTGGCACTTCACTCCATAGTGTTGAAGTAGTTTCCAAATTACGTCTCGGTTAACTCTGCCGAAGGCCTTTAATGGGTCGACAAAGTTGATGTAGAGGTTTGACTACCATTTTATGCTTTGTTCGATGATGATAGGTAGAGTTGCAATTTGACCAGTACATGATTTACCTCTTCTGTTACCTTGTTCCGGTTGGCGGAGTTCCGTATTCAGTGCATCTTTTATTGTCTCCAGGATGACCAGACTTAGTGTTTTATTTGGCGTGAACAAGGGCATGATTCCGTGCCAGTAGTTGGAGAGCCCTTCATTGATAGTCTGTCGAGGTCATTTTTCTTCCAGTCAGTGGGTACTTTTATTTCCTACCAAACGTTTTTTTAGCATTGGCGTGAACATATCTAATGTGGTCTCTGGGTTCATTCTCAGTGCTTCTGGGGGGATTCCATCTGGACCGCTGACTTCCAGGTCGGCATTCAATAGCTTGATTGCACTCAAGATTTCTGCTTTCGTTGCAGTGTTCGCTGGTGTTCACCAGCAGTTCTCAGCGTTTTGTTGGTGGTGGTATTTCTGGGCAAGTTCCAGGGGATAGCCGATTCAAGAGTCCTTTGAAATGATCTGCCTGTCGTCTTCGTTTTCTCTTCTCTTTGGTAATTAGATCCCCTTCATCATCTTTGACAGGTTTAATCTGTGTTGGTCTCTTCCCCGACAGGGACCTGGTTATCTGATGTAGTGTTCTGAGGTCTTTTACTTGTGGCCTGTTCTGCATCATTTGCTAATCGGTGTGTCGTAGAATTGTCTTTTGGCTTTCGCAGCACTCTTCTTTATATCTCTATTTAGTGTGATGTACATTGAACACAGCTTCTTCTTCTGTTGTCCATCTTCGCATTAGGTCATCTTAAGTTTCACCATTCTCCTCCCTTCTGTTAATCTCTAGGTGTTCGTAGAGAGCCATTCTTTGTCTTGTCTCTTCTTTCTTGCTAAATTGATTGCACGCTTTCCCTTGAATATCACCATCAGGGAGTTCCAGTGTTATTCCACGCAGGTTTCCTCAGTGATATCACGTAGTGTATCCGACTTTGCTCTAATCTGATCTGTAGTGAAGGTATCCCTTGTAGTTATGTCCTTCAGTTTCTGAGAGTTGAACTCGAATTGTGATCTGTCTCCAGTTGTTTTGAAGACTTTTAGCTTCGTCTTGAAGGTTCCTTGAACTAGATGATGATCTGAGCTCATATCTACTCATCTTCTCGACTTTGTATCCAGCAGGGTGCGTCCCCAACTTTCTTGAGCAGCACAGAGATGAAGTCTATGTGGTTTTTGTTCTGTCCTTTAGGCAAAATCCACGTCACTTTATGGATATCCTTTTGCTTATATACACTGCCCCTAATCCCCAAATTATTGAAGGCGCAGAAGTCTGTGGAGAGTTGTCAGTTCTCATTCATTTCGCCAAGCGACTGCCTCTCAACCCATGATGAATTCTCTTCCTGTATTATCTGCTCTTGTTAGACTGGCATTCATATCGCACATACGGATTTTGATGTCACCGTTTAAGATGTTATCCGTTACTATTTGCAGTTGTCTGTAGAAATCATCCTTCTTTTCCAATGGTTGTGAGTTGTTTTTAGATGCGTAGCATTGAATAAGTGCAACCTTCCTTCATTTTGAGTTGAGTCTTGCTGTTATTATCCTTCAGGAGGAGACTGGTCCCCACTGCATTAGAACTGTGGCTGTTGTTGATGACATCATTACAGCCATTCCTTTGTTCTGCTCGTGGTTATCACCTGGGTGATCGGAGTAGATTACTGACTCTCTAATTTGTGGCTCTCTAATTCCACCTGCTACCTCAGATGCCTAGCCCTTCCATGCCGTATCTTCTCATTTCTTAGGCTACCAGGGAAGCCTTCTCAACTTTGTACATTGTACAAACATTCCGTGTCCTCATGCTTAATTTTACTTTCATCAAAAAGAAGACACATCGGCTGACTGGTTTCGCCAAGGTTTTCACCAGCCCGCATTATTTCGTCTCTCCGATTCCATCGAAGAATACGCTTGGTTTTTATATTTCTCTTATGTTTTGAAGTATCTGCAGTGTTTGGATTGATTTTCTGGAATAGAATCGCTAGCCATACGGCCAACCCCTTCTCTCTTTATCTGGGGATTAGAACATGCTAGATCACTACTGAGCTAGTAAAGTATAAACGAGGTTAAAACATTAGCTAGTTTGCCTAATTTCGCATCCATTCACCCATAGCTCATTCGAGATATTTATGAAAATCCTTCTCATATCTACCGTTTTAACAATTTCACGACTGGTGTTCCCATCAATTATTCGGTTATCTGATGAATGATGTGATCAGAATTATGGGTATGATACAGTGAGTGGAATGTTAAGCCTTAATAATAAACACAGATTATTGTATTTACATTCTAGTTAATGGTTTTTTTTTTCAAATACATTAAATTTATGAAAAACCCTGTCTGAAAATATCGACTGATTTATGTTTGTTATATGCGTGTATATCACGCATGACACTTACCGATATCCAGAGTTTTCTTAGCATTAATTGCATAACATAAATTTGACAACAATTGCATTTCTATACTGGATGACAGACTGGATGCATTAGGGTGACTTTTCGTTTTCTAAAATATAATCATTATTAATTATTATGGTTATTATTATTATTATTATTTATGAAAGACAAGTAGATTTATTTTAAATATACTAACCATTAATAGCCATTTTTGTGCTTCAGATAGACGTAATGAATGTTCACTTATATACTGATCAATTTTACGGTGACTTTTCATACAACCATAATCGGTAACAATTTTATTCGTGATGTGTGATTTTTCAGACACTGACATATTTTAAACTTTCAAGTTGTATTTATTTATTGACAAATAAATCCTGTAAAAATTAGAGAAACAAAGAGAGGCGAATGAGGGAGGATAAGTTATACACTAATGAAATAATACGCTAATACAGTAAAATCAAAATATACACTTTTAAATTATATTAAATATTAAATCATATTACTTGGTGAAAAATATTCCCTCTTTCGTGTTGATTACTTATTCTTAATATTGAAATGTTCAATCACTGTGTAAAAGCTATCACTTAGTCAGCTGATGAGTCCAATATAGGAAACACTCTGTCCACTAAAAAACTAAATGGTATTATATTACTTAGATAGCCAACCACGCATGTGGCTCACGGTTCGACCCCCAGACAAATACTCCTAAATCTTGCTTAGGAGGTAGCAAGGCCTTGAAGAGGGCAGGTTGGGAGTGAGGGTATTAATCTTACCATGTAAAAATAAACATCACTGCCACCAAAACATCTACCCACATGCTTTCATGTCCTTTTCACATGACCTCCTCCATGTCACTCTCGCACTGACGACCAACTCGCCACTACCCTTTCGGGTTCCACTCGAGCTTCGGCTTGTCTAGCGATGTCACTTGCTAGTTTCCTCAGAGTATGACCAATCCATCTCCATTTCTTCCTGCCTGTTTGTTGCACAATCGATTCCTGGTTGGTTATCTCCCAGAGATCCCTGTTGCTCATCTCTTCTGGCTGACCTTCTTATCTCGAGTAGTAATGAGTGGAGACAGCGGTTGATGAAAGTCTGTAGTTTGTTCGAAGTGCCTTTCGTGATGCGCCAAGTCTCTGATCCGTATAGTAGCACTGACTTCACATTGGAGTTGAAAATCCAGATCTTATGTTTCATGCTGAGTGTTGTTGACCTCCACATAGACTTAGGAGTAATGAAAGCTTGTCTTGCTTTTCCGATTCTGGCTTTGATATTCTCGTCAGTTCCGTTGACCTGTAATTGAAACGATGATTCCCAGGTAGGTAGGTGAACCAGGTTGCTTCTTTCAGATTCTTCCCATTTATGCTGATTGTTTTCTGTTGTTGTTGTTGGTGTTGAGTACTTGAATTCCGTATCTTTTCATTTCGTTTGCGATGTGGGCAGCTTTGTCAGTCTCGTAAATGGTGCGGACGTTCCATGTCCCCATACAGACTTTTTCTTTTGGCGCAAGGAGATTCATTGTGCTGAAGTTTCTGTAGCAACTTTATTTACAGCGTGGGGTTGCTTGCCTCACGCCTGAGATAGGGGTTGTTACATTAAAGTATATTTAATAGAGAAACGACCTTTTGGGTCGCTCCCCTTAAAACCAGGAAAACAAGGAATAAAGCAATCAGAACAACACCAGCAAAAGGAAAATAAGTCACAACAGGAAGGGCAGTGACAACAACAATAAAAATTTAAAAAATATCTCAGCAAACTTGTTCACAAAAGAATAAGCTGTAACATGGAATTCTAGTTACATAGCAACCAATAACCTATTGGCTGATTAATGTGCAGATAGATCTCACATGTCCTAAAGAGATATTCAAGTGAAATCACACACCAGGAAGGTCCTCGAATGAAACGTAAATGAGAAGCGAGCAACTAGTTGGGCTCACATGCAGGGGTAATATCTGGAGTACCCAACAATATTACTGAACCCTTTTGGTTAGACGTTGAAATTAGAGACATTGTACAGGACTTTTGTTTAAAAAGATTCATGTTGAAATATAGATAACCTCCGAGTATAATCTAGAATATAGTGTACTGGTGGTAGCTTCGCCTTCTCACTGGTCATTACTGTCTACTTGCTCCACTCATACCGTGTTGTATATTTTGGATTTATTGCAGGAGCCTATTATCCTTATCCGAAGACAACTCTACAACCGGCCCACACCTTCTACCAGTGGACACAATTCCAACAGTGAACACTTCTGTGGATTATATTAATAATTTGTAGCAGTGAACTTTGACAGTGTATCCAAGAAACCTTTTAATTAATATAACTCATCACTTTATTTCTGATAATATATTGTTACACTATCACCTCATTAACTTGGATTTTTATTCGCACACTTGTTACGTTATTGAGCTCGCTATACAGTCCCCTACAAATATGGAGATCATGTAATTAGGAAATGAGAGTTTTTGGTCAGTTTTGAAGCAAAATGAAGTTGATTGCAGACAGTAAAGTGGAATGGGAATGCTCCGCTGAATCCAAGAAGCGAATAAAAACAGTAATAAGTAATGAAGCAATTTAGTCTTTGATATTCTTCTCAATTATACTTGATCGGGGATTTTATCAAATGTATTGTATTTCAATGGTCATTAGTGCACTGATTTAGTCAAACGAATACTAACCTAGAAAATAAATCCTGTGTTGTAGTGGAATCAGATTCCAATCAGTCAGTCATACACTTGGTCATATACAGTTTTGTTTTTGTTTGTTCAGTTTTACTCGTATAAACAAAATTTGAAGAAGTGGTTCAGCAAGAGATATTGTATTATTCGACTTTTTGTAGTCACTCAGAGTGACATCCTGAATTTTTAAGTAAAACAAAGTATAATGTTTCTTTAATGTATCTGGAAAAGCACAAAGATGAGGAGAGCAATTGCATTACTTTGCCGGGTATAAGATAATGTCATTTGTGTCCATATTACTCGACTAAGTGGGTATGACAATGCCACGTATCAGGTGATCCATAACGAAAAACTCAGCGAGGCGTTCGAAGTGAATACAGGAGTAAGACAAGACTGCTTACTCTTACTACTGATGATATTCCTAATTGTAGTGAACTGTGTTATATGTCAGACTGTGGGGAGAAAGAAGACAAGAATACGTTGGAATGATAAGGAGAATCTAGAAGATTTAGATTTCAGAGATGATTTGCCTAATGTCACAAAAACTCAAAGATTTACAAGAGAAAACCGACAAAGTGTCAGAAAAGGCTGGCAGAAAGCGAAGACAATATTCCGGGTGAACACAGAGAAAATGGAGGTGATGAAGATAACCAGCAAACAGCAACAACAACAATAACAACCAGCACCAATAATTATCAACAGAAAAAACTTGAGAGATGTTACTTTCTTCACTTATCTAGAGAGCATTGTTTCAACCACAAGCGAGATGGATGAAGGCGTCGAAGTCAACCATGTCATTGTTATATCTGTGGGGAATTGAATGATAGACGTTTTCACCTTATTCTGTCTGCGCCTGAACTTATCTGTCTATCTGCTCGTCGTACCTTCCGACTTAGTAAAGCACGCAAATATCAAAAGACAAAGGGTGGACTGTGACTGTGTATTGAAGTGCAACAACGATAAAGAAAGCCATGGTATTTATACATTTTACAACAATATGGACAGCTAACAGCATTTGAAATAATTGACCTTAATAGCCAATAACAAAGTGTGTGAGAAATCATAATATGCCATATATGCGACATTGACAGTCAGTAACAAAATGTGTGGGAATGGTATACCATATATACAAAATTAGCAGTCACTACCAAAATGCGTGAGAATGACAATATACAAAATTAAACAGTCACTACCAAAATGCGTGAGAATGATGATATACAAAATTAGCAGTCAATACCAAAATATGTGGGATCCTATCAGTCATTCCTTCATAACTCTGAGGTTGGTGTGAAAAACTTCTGAAATAAGTATGACGGTGCGAGTTCTGATTTTCAATACTAACGTTACGTCAGTCAGATATTCTAAAAGGGTTACAAACTTGCACTGCGTGTCACGAAAAGGATTTCCTCAAAGTAACAGACTTTTATCAAGAGCTGCCCCATTCGCTGTCTTCATACTGAAGATCAAATGGTCAGTTGGCCAGAAGGAATTAGCAACAAGAAACTATAGCTGGAAACAAACTTACCAAGGGCATTTGGAGAATTTTTCGAACCTGGGATAGGTGCCTAATTAGAGAATATACCTAGGCAATGTAGAAAAAATGTGGAATAAATGGGTAATTTTGAGCGGCAAAGGCACGAGCAAAAGGGGTTAAAATACCACATAATTAACACACTTTACTCATATTAACTAATTTTCACCTGTTTGCCCATATTCCAAAAACTTTTATTGTCCCACTTATTCCCTGTTTACCTAATTTCTCTCAATTTACTCATGTTACAATCCAAAACAGTCCACTTTTTCCTACTTCGATAATTTCGTACAGCAAACTGCCCATTTTCACCCACATAGCCCAGGTCCAAAAAATTCTCTGACTGAGTGGGTAAAATCATGGGTAGTTTTCTTTTTTAAATTTAGCAAAGTAAGAAAAAGTGGGCTGTTTTCAATTGTGACGGGAGTAAAGTGGGAAAAATTGTCTGAAGTGTTCGTTGAAAGTGTGGGTAAACTGGAAAAATCTGGACGATAACATTTTTGAGACATAGGTGAACGGGAAAAATAAGCCACTATTTATTTTTTTTTAATTTTTGATTACAGCTTGATTCCACACTGTATTTTTGGTACAAGTATGGAATTTTCAGCATAGATATCGGTAGCCCACATTTTTCAGGCCGACCATAGGTATCAGGTGTGCGTCAGCAGGGGATAGAACTTCGGACTATTTGCATGGTCGGCGAGAGTCCTAACCACTGTGCCACCGACGCACAGGTGATATGAATAAAGTGTGTTAATTATCTATAATTTTAACCCTTTTTAATCATGTCTTTGCCGCTCAAAATTACCCATTTAGTCCACGTTTTGCCTACCCCAGCTAGCATTTTCTTCGGGCGCATTGCAGACTTTTTGGGGCAAAAAACTTCGGGTAAATCTACTTACGTGGGACACTGTCCCGAAGTCTGCCCCAAAATGTCTGCAATACGCCCTAAGGCTGCCCCGAAAAGTCTGCAATGCGCCCTAAGTCTGCTTCGAAAAGTCTGCAATGCGCCCGAACAAAATGCTAGCTGGGACATTGCCCAGGTGCATTTTCTCGCTGCGAAAACACTAAATTTTTCCTTAATGCATTTCAAGTTGCATTATTGAAGGGTTTTATGCTTAAAATCAAGAAATTTTTAATTAAGCCAGACTTGCTTCACTCACCACACAGTAGCGATAACAAGTGAACGAAGATTGAAGGCCGAATTTATCTTTTATGTTCAAGGTCATTGGGTGGATTAGACGCTTGAAGGTCAATTTCGTCCATATTAGCGGGCCATGTTGGACAGCCATCGGTTTTAACGTTTATCCTGCTGTTATTCTTAGCTTCTATTGATGCACATTGTTCACAAATGTTACATTTTACATCTTTTCAGTTTCCGTTGTCGTTAAAATTATTTATTCCTCTCAATTCGAAATTTATACCTTCAGGCCAGTTCATTCATTTCATTCTAGTTGTTTCATACGTTGCTTACATGCGTGGTTGACGCCATATGCCAAACAGACGTCATATGTTTTCCAGTATTACGGAGTTATAAGCTAATTTCAAGACAAACTCCCCAGTTTCGAATATACTATTTACGAGCTAGCGTGAAACAATTTGATTTCCTTGATTATGATGTAAAGGCCTTCAGTAAACTTCTGCGTATTTCGTCCTTTCACTCGACTGTCGTAGCTTTCGTCATCTCCAGAAAGAGTGGTGCTGAGATTAATTATATGTAGTTTCTAGTACGCTGAATGTTAAGACCGTGTTGCCACTGTGAATGGATTTGATCCTTTCACCGCTTATTCTTCAGGTATCAGCGACAAAAGCATAGGAATAATAATTATAAGATAAAACTAATGTAGGTTATGCAGACTAAAACGACGAAAGAAATAAAGAAAAGCAAAAACAGACAGCAAATGAGATTTGAAGTTGGTACATATATATAATAGCACTAATAATGGTGTAGGGGACGTAATAGTTGGCGTAGTCAGGATAGTAAGACAGGAATGAATGTGAAGAAGTAAAACAATAGGTTGAGATGTCGACCCGTTGATGGGATAGGCCGTTTGGACGCAGTCCTTTTGCCTCTGCATAGTTGTCTAGCCTTCGTTTAAAGCTATCCACAGAGGGTGCCGTATCTATATCCGCCGTTAAGGAGTTCCAGGGATAGAGAGCTCGCAGTGGAAAGAAGTGGGAGCGCACCTGAGTCTTTGCCCTCTGGTGAGCTATCCCTCTGGGATTTACACGAGAGGCCAATATCTACTCAGTGGCAGAACACCTCTGTTTGGGTGATTCTGGTCATTTAATATCTTGTTGGCAGCAATCAAATCCCCCTTAAGACAATGGTAGCTAAGTGTGCAGAGACCTGGTTTCTTTAGCTTTTCATCATATGGTTTGCTTCGGGGACCAATCACTCCTTTTACCCCCTTCCGTCTTTGACTCTATCCAAAAGGTCCGGATCCCTTCTAAGGAGTGGGGTTTCATGATATTGTGCACTTCACGGCGTGGTCTTAGGTATTATTGTATGACCTAAGAAAGAACTCAGGAGTGAGCGCATCTGACTGGCTATGTGCAAAATGTATGACCACATATGCCCCGTTTAATTTACGCTTGTGTCCATTTTTTTCCGTTAGAACTAGATCTAGGTCACGCTTCAACGTTGTGCATGACAAGCTTCCGTTGAGCAGGGTATAACTTGCATTCTGAAGTCTATGGGTGCTTCACACTTTTTCAGGCTAACAGGAACGACTCACCTTTACCTGCCTGACTTATTTTGTGTAGGGAAAGGTCATCATGAACTGAATCAAATGACTTCTCAAAGTCTAGGAGGACCACATGGACTGGAACATTCATATCTCACCATGATATGCGGACACCCCAAGCTAACAGTAGGTTTGTTACACAGGATCTGCCTTTCCTGAAACCGTGTTGGGCTTCATGGAGTCTGTAAGTCCACTGCACAAGACTGCGTCGAGACGGAAAGATGGCGTGCGGCTTTTGTTATCCAGAGACACGCTGTTTGAGACTGTGCCAGAGCGGCGAAGTGGGCAAGTGTGCTTGAACCACGGGTAGGGGTTTATTTAGCAAAATCACATAGTATGGTTCCGACAGCGTTTTGTTAAAATGGAAGTGCACCCATCGTTTTCAAAAGCTGCACTCAAATGCTAAGTCAGTTTTATAAACAACAACACTACAGGCTTGATATTCGTCTACTTTTCTAGAAGACGCTTTCGAGATTTTATAACACGTTTCTTTTTTGTTTGTTATGTGTCGCAAACTGACTTCCAACGGATATAAGTGCAGTATCATGTCCACTTGGTTTTGCCTGTGCTATTTCAGTGCTATACCGTAGCAACGTAAGCGTAGTTTCAGAACAGGCCAAATGTGCATGCGTCTTTAGAATAGGTATACGAGATAGGGTCACTGCCTCTTCTATCTGTTGCCCTCGTGACTACAGAATATGATGTTTTAGTGCTTCCGTAAGGCTGGTTTCGACGACCGTACTAAGGAGTATTATTACTTATGCTAATACATGAATAAGATAGCAACAGTATCTACTCGATAGAACAAGAACAAAAAGACAGATAAAACATAAGGCAAGGAAAATAAAAAGTCTTCGAGTTAACCTAGTACTTTTTGGCTACTCGGCTTCACAGCAATCAAGTGACAGACCAACAAGTCTGAACGAATAAGGAAGATGCTGTTACAGACGTGTAAGAGTTCTACTACGGCTTAGAGTGGACCTATACTCTAAACACCCTTACAAACTTCTTCACCGTTTTGCGACCTTAGCAGTACACTACTCGACGCGCAAATACTGACGAACTGTATCGTGGTAAAAAGACTTGATGTGACAAGAGTATCTGGGAGAATTATATTTTATTCAACGAAATATGAAATTCAATAAATAAAGAAGTCGTACAACTTATCTGCAGATGTTGCTGGAGGTAGGCTCGGAGAGTGTGCAGAAAGAGAGCACAACAAGAGAGCGAACCAATGAACGTACAGAGGAGTCACAACTCAAAAGATAAAGGTGTGTCAAACTAGGTGTGTGAGTTTAAACAAAAGTTCAAGGGTACGATGTGCACTACAGGTTATCCCCCCCCCCCTAGAAGGTTGGTGGGAAACCAGCAAGCTTCGATATACAAAAGTAGGACGGCTTGGTACAATAGCAATGAGGGAATGCGAAGGTTTGAAGATAAGAATAGTAAAAGAAAAGAAATTTTTCCGAAAGGAAAGAAAGCAAAAGAAAAGAAAAAAATTAAGGTAAGTTGGAAGTGGTATGTACATGATTAGTGAAGTAAGACGGAATATAAGAAGAAATGACGCTGGTGCCTTGCGTGGTTGTAAGCTTCTGCTGTTTGGTGTTGTTTTTTATCTTCAATTTTTTTCTTTTTTTATCTTTTATATTTTTATTAATTAATTTTTTCTAGTATTTTTTATTGAATTGATATTTAGCGATTTTTTTAATTCCCTACTATTACGAGCTTACTTATGTGGAGGTCTGATGGTATACTTCCGCCGTCGAGGCTGTCTTAGCGAGAAGGTGACTCATTATGTCTAATTTTCATTTTAGACTAATGCTCTTTTCCTCCGCTTCAACAGAACCTAGCAGTCATATTAAAGGCAATCATCATACCAGCGTATGATAAGGAGCAGGGTAAAAACAACAGAAAAGAATGGGAGAAGAGGTTAAGATTTCAAAATCGGCGTAAAGGTACTATAAAAGCTTGTTCGAAATCAATGTGAGGAAAACTAGTGCAACTTCGAAGTAGTACGTCAGAATGAGATAAAACAAGGGAAATTTCTACATTGTGAGAATTTATAAAATTACAGAGAAGTTTGTACATAACCAACAGCTATGAGTAGCTACCATTTCAAAAATTGTTTTGTTCATTTTGCGAAGTGCATACTTAGATGGTGCATAATGTTTACGAGTACGGTTCACAACCACGGGATGAAGATGAAACGAAGTCAGTTTTCCCGCGCAACCTGGAGGACAACTGTACAATTCAATAACTATAAAGCCTGGTTCAGACAACGGGTTTAATTATATATATATCAAATATTTAACTGTTGAAACACTATTAACTTTCTGACAATTTAAGATTTGATATTATACCATACTTGATCGTTCCTGTAAAAATGGCATGCATTTTCATGTAAATTTATGTTTATATGAAAATAAAAATTATTATTATTATAGATGAATTGCAGGAGGGCATAAACCCGAAGGAATATAGTACAGCCTGTGAAAATAAATTGAGCAGATTACAATGTACAGCATAGAGGTGAAGCATTTATGAGCAAAAATATGTATATCGGTCCATTTAACTATACAGTGGAAGTTTCTTTTTCTTTTTTCTAAAAAAAATTTTCAGACTTTTTTTTAATTTTCTGATTGCTTTATTTGTTTTATTATTTTTTTATTTGTTTATTTTTTATTATTTTACTTTTTTTCTTTTGAAGAAATTGTGCAGTGAAAAGTAATATACTGTTCGTAATTCCTCAATGGGTATG